CTCACTTACCAATACATGGCGGGTCTCACTTACCAATACATGGCGGTTCTCACTTACCAATACATGGCGGGTTCTCACTTACCAATACATGGTGGGTTCTCACTTACCAGTACATGGCAGGTCTCACTTACCAATACATGGCAGGTCTCACTTACCAATACATGGCGGGTTCTCACTTACCAATACATGGCGGGTTCTCACTTACCAGTACATGGCGGGTTCTCACTTACCAATACATGGCGGCTGAGGTGCCTAACATCTTCGCCAGAAAAGTTATACACATCCCAGACCCACATCCTACTTCAACACAGCATGTTGGTCTGAAAGTCAGATTAAATAAACTCAAATTATGATAAAAATTGTTAAATCAAAGCAGTATAACTGTTTACACCATTCTTATATGAAAGTGAGCAAAGAATTTATGATTCCAAGCTATTTCTTACCTACACTTTGGTGTATTATTGTCTGCTTATGAAACGTTTACCAATGTTTATTATGCAAAGAAATATATTTGTTTTTATTAACTTTTAGTTTATTTAAGTTAATCCTTTTCTAGAAAGAGGAAGATTATATTTTACTTGTATATGTATATTTAATTATGTGACAAAAACAAATTGTGACTAACATATATTACTATATTAACATGACGTCTACAAAGGAGGATTATCTCCCTGGTACATGAGAAGATGTGTTGGAGTTTCAGTGCATCATGTCAACTCAAATCATGTTTCTAACTGCTTATTATAAATACATATTATTCTCAGTCCCTGGTCAATCTCGTGAGCCAATTTAACAGTCGCAAGTCAGCTGAAACAGAGTTACATATTGCTGCATATGTAGACCACTGATCCAGGTCATGTTGCAGCGGTTGCAAACATTTGTATATATATATGGCTCGATATCTTTTTCGACAGGTCAGCGGCAGTCACACAAGATTTACCTGGGACTTTTCTTCTCATATATATGAGCTAAACATGTATACGTAGTTAGATGCAATTAAAAGCACTTTAAAGAGTTTAATTCTTTTAAGTTTTGTTGTGAATTTGAACTACATTGTACATATAAATGTAGTAACCACCATTTCACTCAGTTTTGCTCCGATGACATCGTTGTAAACTAGCTAGTAGCTTGTGGTGATGCATAGAATTCAAACTACTTGCTAGCTTACAACTTTGTGTGTTTTTATTTCACTTTATTACCCATTTTAGTAATAAAATAAGTACTGAAATGGGTAACTAGCTGTTACCCGAATGCAAGATTATTACCCATATGCGCCGTTGTGCCCAACCTGATATGACAGAGGCATAATCATCACCATAAACTTTATGATAAGAAGGTCTTTACCAGGTCGTGGAAAACCACTATAACTTGCGTATAATATGCAAACTCGCCTATAATACGCCAATAGGGGTATGGATTTGTTACTAAAAATAGCCAAAATCACTTTAATCTGAACTTTTTCAAATTGTTTGTCCCAGTCGCATTTATTCAGTCATGAAACATAATACAAATGCAAAAATAAACTTTATTTGCATGTGGGAAAGTACAAATAGATGCAATATTTCCGGGAAAGTTACATCAAGTTTCTAAGTAGCCAATTCTTTCAGTAAACATCTTTTAGCAAAATATTATTTACCTTGTCGTAAATCAATGCGATTTTTAATGATATCTTGCAAAAGTTACTGTTAAAGCGATTTGGAATATTTTTAGTAACAAATCCATACTCGAACTGGCGTATAATAGGCGAGTTTGCGTATTATACACAAGTTGGTGGATTTCCCCAACATGTTTACAGCTATATAGGCAATCGGCAGAGTGTACTCGACCTGTCCTGGTCGCTCATTCACAGGACTAGCTATAGGGGTTCGTTAAGAATGTCTATATACACATAGGCTACAGTTTTTACTGCATACTGATGCGGGTCACAAACACGTTCATATTTGGTGACACCGAACGGTTACTGTTTACATTCCCAACAAAATCTCGATTCGTCGATATTGTCTTACTTTCTCTTTTCAAGAAAATCATGCTCTTGAACCAGAGCATCCAGAAACAGAAAGGTGTCCTCGGCCGGCTCATACACGTGCTCAAAGTCCTCCTGTCGTAAGTGAGAGATGTCAGGAGTTGAAAATTTGTCGTTTGACATTTTGCGCCACCGATATCAGTTTTGTGGGTTTTTTCGACAGGAGACTTACGCAAGGGCGACAACTTCAGTTCAAAAAACTTTTCATGTTTAGTCGTTTTACAATCTATTATTATTTTTCATCCTGAAGTTGGATCCCGAGACAATAACGGGAATCCATGTAATTATATTGTATTGGCGAGGTTTACGACTTACATCCAATCCTCAATTTACACTTTACTGAAGTTTCGAACTGTGCAGTATGATCACGGAATTAATACCTAAGTCTGTGGTATGATTAATGATAAAATTGAATGCTAATGACTACTGAGTAGATGTAAAATGTATTGTATATTTGTCTGAGTCCATCTTTTTTCCTATTAAATAATTTACGGTACCTAAATTTGAAAATGTCTGATTTTGAGCTGCAGGTAAGAGCTCAGACATTGTTTTCATTAAAATTAAAAGTTTCAGGAAAAACAAGTAGACCTAATAAAAATTCCCAAAAAATGTCTTGGGTAAAGTTCAAGATTTAGTGGACGGTTCTATTTACTTACATATTGTGATAAACTAGTTAGAATTTGCAGTATAAATAACTGAAGTGAGATAAATTCTGAAAAAATTGAAATTGTCCCCTTTCCCAATAAGGAAATTCTGACCTTAGATGAACTTACTACTCCTAGATTGTAAACACAAAACAGCATAAGCACGTGCTGCAGCACATGGTAAGTGTATACCTTATAATAGGAACAGCAATTCATCACAGAATATATTCTAAAATGTGTATTCCAACTTTAAAATGCACAACATCTTGTGTATATATATTCAGTTTAGGGGTTATGATCAATATATCATATGGTTTACTGGCCCATGTATAGTTTATTATAAGGATTTGGGTATAGGCCACATCGATTTAATCATTATTGCTCTCTTAGTCCACACAGTTCCAAGAATCTCTTTCTGGATATATATGAATATATTTTTCTTAGCAAGGTATATGAATGTATCTTTGATCTAACCATGCCCTTTGCCAAAACAACATGGTCCAGTAAATGTTTTTTTTTATATGTTTGTCTTTGCATAATCCTGAGTTTCTGACTTGTTTCCTAGCACAAGGAACTATAGCCAAAATTGTGTGAATTTGATAACACAATTTGTGCAAAAACAATGCACACATTCACCAAGTCATAACTCCCCTTTGGCTCCATCAAAGGGCTTACATCACAAACACTTCCTGCCAAACCCTCGGATATAGGAGTGTCAGTTTCACTGACCAGAGATGTGAGGATAGTTTGACCTGCTGTGGTCAGAACATGTTCATCAACGATATAAACTAGGATCTTTTAGGAGAGATCAACTCTGTGAACACATTTTAACAATGTGTTGAAAATAGTCCATGGATATATACATCGGCAGTACTCCAGCTGTTGGTTGTTTAGATGTGTTTATTCTAAGGATAGTACACCACTGGTAATCGATGATTTAATATAATCCAAGTGTTGGTCATTTATATTTTCATCACTGAATAACTCGTATTTGGCTCCGCCCACGTGTTCTCTAGAATGTGACGTCACCCATAAGTTGAGCACTTATAAGATGGCCATGTCAACTTGTTGGACAGCTACAGGTTACTTATTGTACAGCCATAGGTGATACCTCAACTCTCTACTGGACATAATACAAAAAAAAGACACTGGATGACATCACAACTGTGTTTTATAAATTCAACAAAGCATCACAAGTGATATATCCCCTCGCATTCACATATTGTGACATATGTAAAAGGAAATGAAATCGCTAGAGCGATGGCAAGGTTTTTGGTAGAAATAGTAAAAGTGAGCTTGACCTTTAACGCAGCAACCTGAAACGCGAAATCGTTCAAGATATTGCCATACCTAACATTTATATGAAGTTTCATGAAATTCTGTTGAGGAATGAAGTCGATAGAACGATGACATTTTTTTCTAAAAATAGTAACAGTGACCTTGATCTTGAACATAGAAACCGGAAACGCGAACTTGTCCAAGGCAACAGCTTCCAGAGTGTCTGGTGTCTGTCCAAGCTGTCGAAAGCTTTTTCAAAGTCGATGAAGTTGATATACAGCGACATATCCCATTCAATGGACTGTTCTAGGATGATGCGAAGGGTTGCTATCTGGTCCGTACATGATCTACCTTTCCTGAACCCTGCCTGTTGGTCTCGCAGAAGGAGGTTTACATACTCCTCCATTCGGTTCAGGATGACACAGTTCAGGTTTTTCACTGGGATGGACAATAGTGTGATCCCTCTATAATTGGAACACTTGCTGAGGTCACCTTTCTTCGCGTGTTTTATGAGATATCCCTCCTTCCCATCGTCTGGAACTGTTTCCTCCTCCCATATGTTACTGAAGAAGGAGTATAGCATCTCCACACTGGTTCATGTATCAGCCTTTAGCGCCTCTGCAGGAATACCATCCGGTCCAGCTGCTTTGTTTTGTTGTTATTGAGCTGTTTGATGGCTCTACCGATCTCCTCTTTGGTGGGTGCGCTGCAATCCAAAGGTAGTTTACTGTTAGCTGGCTGGATGTCTGGTGGATTCTGTGGGGGTGGTCTATCTAACAGCTCCTCTAAGTGTTCTATCCATCTGTTCCTCTGTCCTTCCTCTTCCGGAATAGCTCTTCCTTCCTTATCCTTAACTGGTCTTTCTGGTTTGCCGTATTTTCAAGATAGTTTCCTAATAGGGGTGTAAAGATACCGCATATTTCCCTGGTTTGCTGCCTTTTCCGATTCATCTGCCATACCTTCCATATAGTTCGCCTTGTCTACATTTATGCTCCTCCTGACGGGTTTGTTTGCCTCATAGTACTCCTCTTGTGGACTGGCCTTCCCCGCCCTTGTACGACTATTGTTGACTATCGCTTTCTTTGCTTTTCTGTCCGCTATTTGGGTAAGTTTCTGCAGAGATCCACTCCTTATGATGATACTTCACTGGGCCTAGGACATCCTGACATGTTGATATCACTGCATCCTTAACTCCCTTCCATGTTGTCTCGATGTTATCATCCTCTTGTAACTCTTGTAAAGCTTGAAACCTTTTCGAGAGTGTGATCTTGAATTCTTGAAACTTTGTGATATTCTTCTGGAGAGAGTTGGTGTCATACTGTTGACGGGAGGTTGTCTTTCCTGTCCAGTTCTTCTTCAGTTTCAGTCTCAGGTGGGCCACTAGAAGGTGGTGGTCTGATGCGAGGTCTGCTACTCGCCTTACATGTACATCCAGAAGAGACCTCCTAAACTTCTTCCCTGTGCATACATGGTCTATCTGGTTTTCTGTTCTATGATCTGGTGATACCCATGTAGCTTTGTGTATCCTCTTGTGTTGAAAGACGCTTCATCCAATGACCAGGTTATTTGAGGCACAAAGGTCTGCAAATCTCCCCCCGTTCTCATTCATCTCACCTAGTCCATGTCGACACTCCCCGTATCCTCTGTTGTTGCTACCAATTTTGGCATTTAAATCTCTCATGACCATGATGATGTTCCGTCTAGGGCGACTTTGGATGATGGTAGACAGTCTATTGTAAAAGTCATCCTTTTCCTCATCCTTACAGCCATTTGTTGGGGCATAGCACTGTATGATGTCCATGTTGATCCTTCTCTGTTGTGTTTTAAAAGAGACGACAAGGATTCGTGGTCCGTGTGCTTCCCATCCTGTGAGCGCTCCATGTGCAATTTTGGACAGCATAAATGCCACTCCCTGAGTATGTGGTGAGTCATCCTCCTCGTGTCCTGAAAACAGCAGCAATTTCCCCTGGGAAATTTCCTCTGACCAGAACCTGTCCATCTTTACTCGCTGATTCCTAAGATGGTGAGGTTGTTGTTTCTCATCTCGGCAGCTATTTGCACTGACTTCCCAGTCTCGAACATTGTCCTGACGTTCCAAGTTCCGATGTTAATGGTGGTTCTGGTAGAGATGATGGTCGTCAACCTGATAGCTTCCAGACGACTCTGGCCTTAACCACCCGGTCTCATTCTATCTGCTGATGAAGAGCCATCCTCTCCCAGGACCGAAATGTCCTCTCGATTTTTTGTTGATGTTTCTGTAGCTGTAGTTCTTTCTACGAGGAGGGGATGCTAGCCCCACGCTCAACCCCCAACCAGGAGGACCAGTGTATTGCTCTTCGCCTGGCCTCTACACTTCGACCTGTCCGGCATGGGTGACCCTACCGGGTGTTTGAACTCCCGCCGGCGTAGCTCTAGTGGTTACCGAGACACCCAAGCTTTCTGACCACTACAAGGTGGCAGCCCCACAAGGAGACTTGCATGAAGTTTAATAAAATTCCGTTTAGTAATGAAGTCTCTAGAGTGATGACAAAGTGGGTTGTTTTAAATTGTAACAGTGACCTTGACCTTCAACATAGAAACCCGAAACACAAACTTGTTCAAGGTATTGTCATACCAAACAGTTGTATTAAGTTTCATAAAATTTCGTCTAGGAATGAAGTCGGTAGAGCGGCGACAAAGTTTTTTCTAAGAATAGTAACAGTGGCCTTGACCTCGCACATAGAACCAGAAATGTGATCTTGTCCAAGACATTGCCGTACCTAACACTTGTGTGAAAATTCATGAAATTCCGTTAAGTAATTAATGAAGTCTTTAGAGTGATGAAAAAGGTTTTTTTCAAAAAATAGTAGCAGTGATAATTACGTCGCGGTAGACATCTATATTGTAGCTAATGGTCTGAACAGCACACACTCCTGAAGACTGTTGTAAAGCCGAAGTTAAGACATGCGATAACGTTATGTGGGCGAACCCCTAGGGGCCTTGTTGTACCCAACTTCACATGAGAGTTGTACCACGTGACATTGAGAAAGCCGATAGATATACAAGTTCCTGTTCCCTAATCAACAGTCAAAGATAAAGTAAACTTTCCTTCATAACATAAAGATGTACTGATCCTATATGATACCTGGACAGGTGAAAAAATATACAAATATATACCGGTAGATAGCATGATACTTCTAACGAGGCAAGGATTTATTTTGATAAATAACGTCTGTTATGTTCTGTTT